AAACCACAAACATTGCATTTTTTTAAACTTAATTCTTTATAGTCTGCATTTCAAATGAGTCACAGATTAAAAATGATACCTTGTATCTAGGATCATTGAAGAACAGATTCTAATTTTTTAATATATCAGAGGCTAGACTGAAATAATACATCTTATACTTCTATAGAACTTGTATTTTTCTAATATACTTTCTGTACTGCTTTCTTATTTATTCCTCAGAGCAGTATGATAATTTTTTAAAAAAATCCTAGCTCAAGTATTTTGACATTCAGATCCTTGTCCCCTGCTCTGCTTCCCAACTGAGAATGTGACTTGGATAAATTATGTTAACCTTCTGTACCTCAGAGAATAAAAAAGGGAATTGGATCAGATCAAGGCTTCTTAGCTTCTTCTATGCTATGGATGTCATTGGCAGGCTGGTGAAATGTATGACTCTTCTGAGAATAATGTTTTTAAATCAGTACAATAAATAAGGTCACAAGTAAAACCAATCATATTGAAATTCAGTTAAGGCATTAAAAAGAAAATTTATGATATGGTAATATGTGTTTCTTTATTAAACATTAAATAAATAAATAAATATCATGAACCCATAACTACTGTAATTTTCATGTCACGATTAAGTGTAAACAGCACTAGGAGGTATCTGCAATGTTAATGGGATTTGAAAATATGTGGTTTTTATTGGTGGCCAAGTCACATTGTTGCTTGAGAAGCACTCTATACATTAGGCTACATGGCCAGTCTGGGAGCTTTTCAGCTATGATTGATTCCTTAGATTGACAGTAAACTTTCATTTTTAAAAACTTGCCCTTAAACCTGAAGTTTGAGAAGTTGATAAAATGCCTGCCAGCAAGGAGAGCAGTGCTGTTAAACACGCAATGATATTTTCATAGAATGTTTAGGTTAGGAGTTTCTTAAGGGTCAATAATTGGGTGGGTCTAGATTGTTTTGGAGAATTGAAGAGCCCCAGACAGTAGTTTGAGGTTTGGCAGAAGCAAATTGTCTCTGAAAGTGCAGGAAGAATGATAACAAGTCTGACTGCGTAACTAGACAGAAACATAGTTCCAAGTTTTACTTTATTAAGTATAGGCAAGATTTGTTCTGTACGGGTTGGTTTGAACACTATAACTATTTGCATGTCACAGTTAATATTCTTGTGAATATATGTTTGAAAAATTTTATAGACATGTAAAATATTAACCAGTTAATGTCTTAGGAACTAAATCAAGTCTACATGGGGAGAAAAGCTACTCCCTAAATGTCTCACAGTGAAATTCTCTAATAGACATGTCAATGCAGCATACATTTAAATTTTTTTTTTAATTTTTATATTAGTTTCTGGTATACAGCACAATAGTTAAACATTTACATAATCTATGAAGTGATCCCCCCAATTACCCTAGTACTTACCTGGCACTATAAGTACATTACAATATTATCGTATATAATCCCCTTACTGTACTCTACATCCCTATGACTGTTTTGTAACTAATTTGAACTTAATTCCTTCACCTTTTCCCCTAGCCCACTGAATCCTCCTCTCATCTGGCAATCACCAGTTTATTTTCTGTATCTATGTTCATTTATTTTGTTCCTTAGAGTCCACATCTAAGTGAAATCTTATGGTATTTGTCTGACTTATTTCACTTAGCATAATATCTTCTAGGTCCATCCACGTTGTTGCAAATGATAAGATTTCATTTTTTATAGCTTAGTAATATTCCATTGTATATGTGTACCATAACTTCTTTATCCAATCACCTATTAATGGGCATTTAGGTTGCTTCCATATCTTGGCTATTATAAATAGTGCTGCAGTGAACATAGGCTAAGCATACATAAATCCTTTGAATTAGTATTTTGGTTTTCTTTGGATAAATATCCAGAAGTGCAATTGCTGAGTCATAAGGTAGTTCCATTTTTAAGTTTTTGAGGAAACACCAAACAGTTTTCACAGTGGCTGTACTGATTTGCAATCCCACAAACAATATATGAGGGTTCTCTTTTCTCTCTATCCTCGCCAACACTTGTTGTTTTTTGATTTATTGATGATAGCCATTCTGACAGGTGTGATGTGATATCTCCTATGGTTTTAATTTGCTTTTCTCTGATGATTAATGACATTGAGCATCTTTTCGTATGTCTATTGGCCATCTGTATGTTCTCTTTGGAGAAATACCTATACAGGTCCTCTGCCCATTTTTTAATTGGATTGTTTGTTTCTTTGGTGTTGAGTTATATGAGTTTTTTTATAAATTTTGGATATTAATCCCTTATCAGATATATCATAGGCAAATTTCTTGTCCCAGTTAGTAGACCGTCTTTTCGTTTTGTTGATAATGGCTTACTCTGCTGTACAAAAACCTTTTAGTTTGATTTAGTTTCATTTATTCACCTTTTCTTTTGTTTCTCTTGCCCAGGGAGATATGTTAGAAAAAATATTACTAAGAGCAATGTCAGAGAGTGTACTGTCTATGTTTTCTTCTAGAAGTTTTATAGTTTTGGGTCTTATATTTAAGTTTTTAACCCATTTTGAGTTTATTTTTGTATATGGTGTAAGATGGTGGTCCAGTTTCATTTTTTTGCATGTATCTGTCTAGTTTTCTGAACACCATTATATATTCTTGCCTCTTTTGTCATATATTAAATGAGTGTACAGATGTGGATTTATTTCTGGATTATCTATTCTGTTTCATTGATCTATGTTTCTGTTTTTATGCCAGTACCATGCTGTTTTGATTACTATAGCCTTGTAGTATAGTTTGATATCAGGTAGTGGGATACCTCCAACTTTGTTCTTTCTCAAGATTGCCATGGCTATTTGGGATCTTTAATGGTTCTATAAAAATTTTAGATTGTTTGTTCAAGTTCTCTGAAAAATGCCATTCGTATTTTGATAGGGATTGCCTTGACTTAATAGATTGCTTTTTGTAGTATGGACATAACAATGTTGATTCTTCCTACCCATGAGCACTGTATATGCTTCTGTTTATATGTATCTTCTTCAATTTCTCTTTTTAATGACCTATAATTTTTCAAATACAGGTCTTTTATTTCCTTGGTTAAATTTATTCCTAGGTATTTTATTTTATTTTGATGCAATTGTAAATGGGATTGTTTTCTTAATTTCTCTTTCTTATAGTTCATCATTGGTGTATAAAAATGCAACTGACTTCTGAATATTAACTTTGTATTCTGCTGCTTTACTGAATTCATTTATCAGTTCTAATAGTTTTTTTTGGTGCAATCTTTAACGTTCTCTCTCTATATATGATGTCATCTGCAAGTAATGACAGTTTTGCTTCTTTTCCAATTTGAATGCCTTTTATTTTTCTTTCTTGTCTAATTGCTATAGCTAGAACTTCCAACATTATGTTGAATAAAAGTGGCAAAAGTGGACAGGTTTGTCTTGTTCCTGATCTTAAGGAAAATGCTTTTAGTTTTTCCACATTGAGTATGATGTTAGCTGTAGGTTTGTCATATATGGCCTTTGTTATGTTGAGGTTTGTTCCCTCTATTCCCACTTTGCTTAGAGTTTTTATCATGAATGGATGCTGGATTTTGTCAGATGCTTTTTCTCCATTTATTGATATGATCGTATGATTTTATCTTTCAATTTGTTAATGTGGTATATGACATTAATTGATTTGTGGCTATTGAACCAGTCTTCCTTCCCAGGAATAAATCCAACTTGATCATGATGTATGATCTTTTTAATGTACTGCTGAATTTGGTTTGCTAATATTTTGTCGAGGATTTTCGAATCTATGTTCACTGAGATATTGGCCTATAATTTGTCTGGTTTTGGAATCAGGGTAATGGTGGCCTTATAAAATGAATTTGGAAGCCTTCCCACCTCTTGAATTTTTTGGAATAGTTTGAGAAGGATAGGTGTTAATTCTTTGAACGATTTTTGGTTTTTGTTTTTTGGTTTTTTGGGGAGTTTTTTGATTATTGATTTAATTTCATTAGTGGTAATTGGTCACTTCGGATTATCTGTTTATTCTTGACTCAGTCTTAGGAGATTGTATGTTTCTAGAAATATATCCATTTCTTCTAGATCATCCAATTTGTTGGCATATAATTGCTTCTAGTATTTTCTTATAATCCTTTATATTTGTGTGGAGTTAGCTATCACTTCTCCATTTTCGTTTCTGATTTTGTTTATTTGGGTCCTCTCTCTTTTTTCTTGACGAGTCTGGAAAGGTTTATCAATTTTGTTTATCTTTTTGAAACCAGCTCTGGGTTTCATTACTCTTTTGTATTTTTTTTTTTGACTGTGTTTCATGCCATATACATTTGTTTGAGCATCTATTTTGTACCAGTGAAAATTCAGTGATGAATAAGACACTGTTCCTGCCATGAAAAAATTACCATTTCATTTAATGAGCAAAAAAATATTGATGATAAGAATATTTTAAAAGCAGATATAAGATACTATTTATACCGGTAAGGGAGAGAGGAAGTTTACATATAACTTTAAATTTTTGTTTAGTCATTGACTCAGTTATTCATTTGTTCAATAATGTTTAGCGAGCCTTTATCCAATGTCATACACTAATCTTTATGGCTGTGCATAGAATGCTAACATTGGAAGTGGTAAGATAGGATTAGGTTGAAATTATGTTGGGTTTTATATGCTCTGTTTAGAATGCTGAGCCTTATCAAAAAACAATTGGGAAACTAAAAGATTTTAAGAAAGGAACTTACTAATCAGATTTGAATTTTAAAAATTATTGCTATCGGGGAAGTTATGACAGGTGACTGGAAAGGTGCTGTCAGATCATTTTAGGGTTTTAAGTCTGAACAAATCATTCTTCTGTTCATTTCTAGGTCTCTTTAAATTTTAAAAATCTCTCATTTCTTTCTTATTAATGAAATTTAGAGGCAAATACCTGTCTTGTGTTGGAATTTTATAGTATGATGTACTTTTTGTCAGGTTTTTTTTTTTTTTTTCAGCAATATAATTAACATATTTTCCCATCATTATTTTTCAGCTTTGGACACTTGTCTTGATTTTATGGCCAGTCATTATTTTCATCATTTTGGCTATTACCCGGACCAAATTTCCTCCAATAGCAAAATCAACTTGTAAGTAAATGAGATTTCTTTATTTCTAACTTTTGGATTCTAGTTAAAATTTATTTTGATACCACTTTAGTGTTTCATCCTGAAATTTATTTTTTGAATAGTTTTGCCACTTGAAAATATTTGTATAGTACTTAGCATAGTTATTTCCTCCAGTTTTTTTGTATTAGTTAGAAAGATGAGCCTATAATATTTATCTAGAAAAATCTGAGCATGTAGGAGCCAGAATATATTTTAAATCTTACCTATAAAATTTTGACTCATTTATTATTCATCTCGTAAATCTCACCATGGTATGGACAACACAAAGAAGGAGCAATCTCAGCTAGATCATCCTTTAGTTTTGTGTTGTGGCAGAAACCATAGATTGGTATTTGATCAACCGAATGAATGAAATCTGGAGTACTATTATAAAAATGTCTTATCTCTCTTCAGGGTTGATATTAGAGTGGTACAAATATATCATTTAGTTTAAAAGAGGGTTGTTTTCCAATTAGTGTTGTTTCAGGTGCATTTAGCATTGCCAAGTTGTAAACAGGGTACAATGCCCAAATGTTATTATTTTCTTTTGCATCCAGAATGAAAATGCAGAAAAGACTTAGACAAGGCCTCAGGGCTGAGGCAGATGAACTTTTTAACCTCAATGATCTGACCAATGTTGTTTTCATTTTTGTTCTTAAACTTTGGACCCAGTATTCTCAGTAGAAATACTTATTATTTTAATAAATACTTATTACGTATTTTACTTAAGTAAATAATTTTTCTTAAGGAAAAGTCATGTCAGATATTTCACATTTCACAAAGCAGCCATCTTCTAAAGATTCTAGTTAATCAAATTTCTGTAAATCAGATTGTATTTTGGCTAAATTATGGCAATTTTCTATATAAAAAATACTATGCTGAATTACCTATAAACAGAATAATGAGTTGGTGACATTTGAAAAAGAACAGTGCTTTTCAATCACCCAGTATTAAGAAATAAGATGAGAGCCATGGTGGATTGAATCACGTACAAAGGATAATTCAAAAGAAAATATCCATTCAATTAGTGTAAAGCATTTACACTCCTGGTACTAGAATGAATAATTCCTTACATTTGAACAGCACCTTATCATTCCTAAAGGACTTTTGCACATTATTATGTGGAGTTGTTGATGAGATTTTATTAGGCTGTTTATAAAAACAGCATAATTTTCTTTGTATTGTGCGTATTTTAGTTCTTTATAGCAGATTAATTCCATTGTATATTGGTGGAATTCGTGTATTCTTGCATATCTTAAGTAGCATAGACTTCAGAAATAAATACATTCATCACATAAGAACAAATACTCTTTGAACTATTCTGGTTTAAGATGCTAATTATCAATTTGCTAATGATAGTTTTAGAAGTTGTTTTGGGCTCCTTTTCACAACTTATTTCTACCAATTTCTTCTTTTTAAGGACTTTTCAGTTATATAAAATTCCTCTTATAAAACTTCCAAGAGAGAAATATAAGATGTGTGGGTTGTCTTAATCTAATTAGTGCTACATGATGAGATTTAGAGATTCATAGAGAAAATTATGAAAAGCTCTTATAATTCTACTAAATTATGAAGAAAAAAATCAGAAGAACCATGTGACAAATGCATCATAGACCTAATCTAAATGGCTCCGCAAAAGCACACTATCCAAAGGAAGATGAATAACCAGTTTTTACTATAGACCTATTATTATACCCCAATGATAATTAGCTATGGTGATTATCTTTATGTTTGTGGGTAGGAGAAAACAAAATTATAGAAAAGTTCAAACATTAAAAATATTTTTTCCAGTCTCTCAGATCTTATAAGACTCAAAATATAGTTTATTATTTATTATTAGAACTGGAAGGGACTCTCTTACTTTACAGATAAGAACACTGGAACTCACAAAGACTGCAATTTGCCAAAATTCAATCACGTGGGATAGGACACAAAGGTTTTAGAAACTACTTTTCCTTATTCTTTGTCCATGAGATTTATATTGTATCTTACTCTTTTATATAAAGAGCCAAATACAAATTATGTCCAAGATTTCAACTCATCCTATAATCAATAGAGTATAAAATGTAATTTTATAATTAAAAGTACTATTTTGTAGGGTAATTTGGAGAATCTAAAACTAGAATAGACACAGTTACCTTTTCTTCTTGCTTGTGGTAGAGAGAGATTAATTTAGAAATGACAGTTTAGATTTAGATATTGTTATTGTTTCTTATTGTTTTCTTTGTTTCTCTCGCCTATTATACTGGAAGATTAAAATGCATTAATAATAACTTTATTTGATCTCATACCATGTGCCAGGCACTTGTTATTTATTTCACAGTTGAGAAACACAACTCACACAAAAATTAAGTAACTCGACAAAGACTGCACAGTTGAGAAGTGGTGGTGTCAGGATTTGAACCTAGGCAGTCTGGCTCCAGAATCTGGTTTTAAGCTCATGGACTCACATTTTTAACATCTAGTAGGCAATATGAATTTCTCAGGTTGCATTATTTGGATTTTGCAAAAGTAGACAAAAAATTAGAAAGTAGGCATATAAACACCCCTTCTCTGTATCATGAAATCAAGAAATATGAGGGAGAGGCACATTCTAATACACAAATCAAAATTATCCTAACTATTATATTCGATGAAGAATGTTGCTTCTGACTGATGAATTTTGCATGAGTCACTGCAGTTGTTGTACCATAGAAATCAGGTTCCACTTAACAGAGTTAAAAATCCTTTCTGGGCTATAGTGACTTCTTCACTGCTGGTTGGGCAATAGAGAAATGAAATTGAAACTTTAGGCTACACCCCAGATGAAACTCAGCTATGGTGAGAACGGGAGTTGTCATCCTGTGTGCACATTCTACTCCCAGAATAGTTTGGCAGGTCTGTAGGACTGATAAACCATTCAGACCAAATATAATTAGCAACTCAAAGGGCTCCCTCCCGGTCTTTTTGAAGACCGGGCTTCTGGAGAGGTCTCAGTTTTTCATGAGTAAGGAAGTTGCGGCCGTCTCTGCCACGGTGAACATCAGTCCAGAGCAAAACGCTTACTTTCAGCATCGTCTGCTTTCACCTACACTCTTTTGTGTTGCCACCAACAGCTTATGTAACTAGCCTTTGCAAATAATACATTCCAGGTAAGGAAACCTTCCAAAGCCTGGCAGGCAGGCCCTGATGCTTCTAGTTCACACGGGGGAGAAATGGGCTGAGGCACCAAGTTTGAATGAGTTCCAACCCCTTATAATCTCTACATGCAGTGGCTTGTCAAGAGGCAAACTTTAAAGCCGAAATACTATGCTTAGGAGCAAAGGCAAATAAAACAGCTCTCCAAAATGCATTTAGACTAAGCCAAGCTATAATGTGCAGTGAATTAATTTTGTCTCCTTTTAACACACATATATCCCTAAAGTGCAGGCAAGCAGCTCCTTATTACTATGGAACTGACTACTTCTCAAGAACAGTAAAACCTTGCCATAATGAGATAAGTGGACTCCTAAAATTCAGTCTTGCCAAACAAGGAGTCACATTTTTATGAAGCTAATGAAAAACAATATTTTTTAAGTGATTGAAAATATCACTACAAGCACAATGGAAATTATACTGTACAAGGATAACCACGCATTGAATTAAATCCTAACTGTCTTGAGGCTATCACTTCCTAACACCCCTCAGAAGATAAGAAATTCAGCCCATCCACATCTGAACATAGGAGCTGGTGGAAGGCAGGTGACTTATGTACAAATTTGTGTTATCACAGAGTTATGCTAAATACTATCCATCCAGATGTGACTCAGTGGCTTTGGTGAATGCAAGACTGACATTCCTAGCATGTCTTTTGACCTCCATAGCATAGCTTTCATCCTCAGGGACAAATAAAAATAATAATAGGGGTGATCGTTTACTGAACACTTAACCACTAAGTACTTTGCATATATTTCCTTAGTACTCACGTCATCTCTTTGAACTATGTAATTCAATTACCCCTATTTTAAAGATGCTAAAACTGAGGCACAGAAGGGTTAAGTAATTTGCCAACATTCACGTGTTACTCTGTGCCTGAGTCTGGATTTCAACCGCACAAGTTTTACCTGCAGATGAAGTGGTTTTACCCAGGTCTCGAGCACTAGCAATGGTGATACTAAGGTCTGGATCATCTGAATTCACAGCATCTCCTTTGTCATCCTCATCCCATCTATTAGCACTATCATAGTGTGCACATGGCTGTAAAAATGAACTCAATTGGTTTTTCTACTTTTCAGTAGTTCTAGGAAAAAAATGTGAGAAGGAAGATTGAAATTATTGATTAATTGGTGGTTTGTGGTATTCGTGCGTGTTGTTATATGTACACTACCTGAATTATTAAGAGAAAACTTTTGTGTGGTTTTACTTTGAAGGAGCCTATAAGGCATCTCACCGGTGAGGCTTGTGAAAGTCAGAGGAGTTAGATTTCTTCTGGCCCTGCTCTTGCCGCTCACTTTTCATGTGATGTTTTTCACTGAAGTGATGGCGAGTGCATGAGGACGGGATTCTGGGTGTACCACGCTCACCGGCACATTCATGATTTAATAGTAATAGTAATAATTGAGGGACTCGTAGTAAATAATTTCCTTTTCTACCTTAATTGGCTCAAAATTAATGTAGATTTTATTCTGGGAAGCTCAGAGCTCATCATCATTCTTCTTCTGCCAGGGATTGCCCCATCTAATGTCTCCATTCTCACATGTGCCAGCAACACTGGGCAGCCTCTCAGGTTAGAAACATCTGAGTCATCTTTGACTCCTTCCTTTCCTTCACCTCCCATACTTAGTAGCCTTCAAATCAGAATTTATCTCGTGAAACGTGTCCTCAAGTTAACCCATTTTTTCCATTTTTCTTGCCGTTCCTTAGTCCCCACATTTCATTATTTCATGCCTCGGTTTCTTCAATGGCCTTTTCACATTTCCTCATCAGATAATCACCTAAAATACTCTCTGGATTTACCAAGTTTC